AAAAAAAAAAAAATGATGGTAAAATACTTTTTCACACATATGAAAGCTGGAAGAATCCATCGAAGTGGCCCACACTACAAAAAAAGATTAAGGGAAGTCCTTCAAGCAGAAGGAAATGACACCAAATGGAAATCTAAATCTACACAAAAGAAAAAAAGAGAACCAGAACTGGTAATTATGTGAGTAAATATAAAGACTTTTCTCCTTTCTATTCAGATCTCTTTAAAAGGTAGTGATAGTTTAAAGCAAAATAATAACTACGTATTCTGGGATTTATAACATATGTAGAAATAAAATGCTTCTCTCCCTCTCCTGGAGAATAACAGCACGGTGGCCAGGAAGGGTGAAATGCAAGTATAGGCAGTCTTTGTTTTGCTCAGTTCTGACATGCACTAATTTCGGTTACTTTAGCTTAGTTCAATGACATCAGTCCTCCAACAATATATTTCAAATTTCAGTTACCACAGTATATTAACTGTGAGTAATTGCATAAAATACAAACGTCACTGCTGGCTCTTCAAACCTCAAATCACTATGTAAACAGCAGATGCACATCCTGCTCAGTGACTAATCATGTCATTTCTTTCAACGTCTGTCATTGTTCAGTCACTGTGCGTCTCTTCTTCAGTTCATGCACAAACAGCAAAGAATGTAATTGTGTCATCTCCTTGTCTCCCAACAATAAAATCCACGTGATATTTTATAAAAATAGATGATCGAAAGATGGACCGGCCAACAAAGATGAAAGTGAGACAAAGAAATGAAAATTGGTAACACTGAAGGTGAAATTAGAATTGACCATCAGGGAAGTCGTAAGAGGAATAGCTGACCACAGGAATATTGGCACTGCTGTCATTCTAGAGACCATAGATTTGCAGCCAGAAGACCTGAGTGTAGGCAAACTTAATATCGATGAAGAAAGTGGTTGTAACAAAGAGGATGAAGATGTCCCAGAGAAGTGACACTCACAAACAGTAAAGAAATTCTTGGAAATATTTCATGACATTGAAATGTAAAAGCTAAAATGTTGGAGGCTGATCCAAACATAGAAAGGGATATGACAATTCAGCAAGGCATAAAAAAAAATTCTTGTTTCATATTGTAAGGTATACAACGAGAAGAAGAATGCAAGCACTATTCAAACTATTCTTGATAAATTTTTCACATACAAATAAAATACTTTCTCAATGTTTACTATTTTTTCATTTTAGTTTACTTTTAGTTGACAAATAATAATTGGGTACAAATAATTTATTGGCTTCAACGTGATGTTTTAAGACATGCATACCTTATGGAATGATCAAATCAGGCTAATAAATACCCATCATCTCACATACTTACCATATCTTTGTGGTGAGAACATTTAAAATTCACTCTTTTAGCAATTTTGAAATATATTAATACAATACATTGTTATTAATTATAGTCACCACGCTGTACAAAAGACCACCAGAATTTATTCCTCTTAATTGAGACTTTGTATCCTTTGACCAATATCTCCCCAGTAAAACTGGCTTGGTTTAGTTGTACTATTTTTTTCATTTCCCTATACATTACTGTAACTGACAATAAAATAATTTCTAATGCTTTGACAAAAATTTTTAAAGGTCATGAAATATTTGTAATTTTTCTCATTGATTATTAAGTTTGGTTTGCACAGTTTCAACTTGCACAATCACTCTTACAATCCCACAAATACAAAGCAAATGCAACAAGGACTACCTATAAACTGTTAAGTTGTTTGTTTGTTTGTTTGTTTAAGAGACAAGGTCTTGCTATGTTACCCAGGCTGGAGTGCAGTGGCTATTCACAGTCTTAAATTCTATGTGA